GGTTACGGTGCCTTTGAGACCCTATGGTAAACCAAGAATGAAAATTACCCCTTTGATGGCATACCATATGCAATAGTAGACAACCCGAGGTATTACAAACGGGGTATGTCCAGTCTTTTTTAGTAGCCACTTAGTCTCAAACACTGGCCAAAATTGGCGTTTTTTGCATTTTTCACACAAACAAATACTAACGCTAACTTTGGCCAGTGTTTGTGACCAAATGGCTACAAAAAAAGACTGGACATACCCCATTTGCAATACCTTGGGTTGTCTACTATTGCAAATGGTATGCCATTATGGGTGTAAATTTCATTCCCTGGCTACTATACAGTCTCAAAGGCAACGTAACCAATCTGGCGAATTTCAATTTCAAATGTAACGTGCTATATTTGACCCTGTAACTTCCCAAAACGCCATAAAACCTGTACATAGGGGGTACTGTTTTACACGTGAGACTTTGCTGAATACAAATATGTGTATTTTATTGCAGTAAAAGAAAACAGTATTATGACACTGACCGTTTAAATGTCATGTAGAACTAAAAAAATCCAATAAAATCGTATTTTCTCCCATTTTTTTCATATTAAATTATGTTTCATGGCTAAATATTTGATATTAAATGAAAGCCCTGTTTCCCCTGAATAAAATGATATATAATAAGGGTGGGTGCATTTACTATGAAAGAGGTGAATTACAGTTGGACAGACATGTAGCGCAAATGCCAGGTTTTGTTTACATCTTTGTTTTGTTCACAACGTACATTTGGCCCGGCCCCAAGGGCTTTCAAAACCACATTTATAAAACATTAGCAGGTGTTCAAAAGGCCCCGTCAGACATCACTTGCTGCTGCAGCTTGACACAGGTCAGAGTATTTTGGTGGTTGCCATCTTCAAACGGTCGTATCTTAAAAACTATAACTCCTACAGTGAAGAGCTTTATATTGTGAGAATCACAAGACCTAGACCTACATTTTGATGCATAGTATGTCTCTGAAGTATTAAAAATAAAGGCACAGTCGCAGTTTAGAAATTGCACTTCAAATTTGAGCTTTGCAGAGTGAAGTTTCAATGAATGTCAATGGACGGCGTTGGTTGCAAACAAATGGTCATATTGTGAAAACTATCGGGACTACGGCTTAGCCGTTGACATGTTTAGTGGCAGCAGGGATAGCTGAACGTTTTGATATAAGATTTGTGTAGGCGGGCCTGAAAATAAGGGAGTGGTGGCAGTTTAGAAATCATGTCCTGATTTTTCAGCTTTCGCCAGCTCCCACTCTAGCTTTGCCATTCATTCCTATGGGACAAATTTCGCCACAAGAACGACGATATTCCGTGAACCATTCGGCGAAACGTTCCACAAAGTAATAGCAATCCGATCGGGAACAATCTGCACGTTTTGGTAAATTTTTGCCTATGTAGTGTAAAAACTGTGGGAGGAGTTAGGGTGGCAAATTTTGCTATAATAATAATAATAATAATAATATATATGTGAGATAACATTAAGTGGTCTTGCTATGCAAGAACACTTAATAATAATATATATGTGAGATAATATTAAGTGGTCTTGCTATGCAAGAACACTTAATAATAATAATATATATGTGAGATAACATTAAGTGGTCTTGCTATGCAAGAACACTTAATAATAATATATATGTGAGATAACATTAAGTGGTCTTGCTATGCAAGAACACTTAATAATATATATGTGAGATAACATTAAGTGTCTTGCTATGCAAGAACACTTAATAATAATAATATATATGTGAGATAACATTAAGTGGTCTTGCTATGCAAGAACACTTAATATATATGTGAGATAACATTAAGTGGTCTTGCTATGCAAGAACACTTAATAATATATGTGAGATAACATTAAGTGGTCTTGCTATGCAAGAACACTTAATAATATATATGTGAGATAACATTAAGTAGTCTTGCTATGCAAGAACACTTAATAATAATAATATATATGTGAGATAACATTAAGTGGTCTTGCTATGCAAGAACACTTAATAATAATAATATATATGTGAGATAACATTAAGTGGTCTTGCTATGCAAGAACACTTAATGATAAGCGGTGTTCTAGGTACCTATAGTGTCCCTTCAACTAAAGAAATGTCTTGACCTTGAAGAGGTAACTTTCTTATGCAGAGTTCAGTACTCACATACTTCAAATCAACACAATACAAAGTTAACCAATAGCATGATGGGAGACTAAAGTTAGTGTTGCCAGGCAAAACAAAGACATATACACATACATACTACTGCTGCGGGACTTGCAAGCTATACATTTCACTTATATATACACATTTCTCAAGCAGTTTTGTGAATGGGGAACCACATCAGCTAACCATCCTAAGAAAAGCAGTGGGGCCCCTACCTGCAGAAGCCCTATGTTTGCATTTTGATGCTTTTCAAGAAGTGGATGGTGAAGGGGCAGAGTGATCTGGCGCTGAAGAGGAGAAGATGGGGTTAAACCATTTCAATCAATTTGCTATGGTGGCTAAAGGAACAGCAGGACTTACCTCGAAGTTTGCACTTGCTTGTTGATTCACGCTCTCCGGTACTCTCAGAAAACTTCACCGCTGTACACAAACAATAAACAAGACATATTTAGGTTGATTTAATTGCATTAATGGATATAGAGTATTTTCTATTTTAAAAAATTCACAGTATTCTTAAAAAAAAAAAAAAAAAAAATAATAAATTCCAGTCAGCTCAGAATGAGAGCATTAAAGGCTGTATTAATTTTATGGCAAGACAGGAGGCTTCATATTTGCTTATCTTTCTTTACTGTAACTCCCAGCAGCAAAGAAATGGTTAACAATGTTGTATGGAAAAATCAACCAATCATAACATATCTCAACTACAATATAGTGTCATCAAACTCCTCCCACTTCCTCTTTCTTTGCTGCTTGCCTCCCAGGTGAGTCTGCTCCAATTACATTGCCTTACTGGTTTTAGTTAATTCAATATTTGTTTATTTAAACCTTGTTACTGCATACATAGAATTCATCTTAAAAAATTTATTTTGATTCAATCATCTTTTCCTTTAAATATTTCCTTTAAATATTTCCTCTTTTTCTCACACATATATTATTTTTTCTTATTTCCCTGTATTGGATTGTTTGTTCCCCTTTAAATTTGGCGTCCTAACCGGTTTTCAGTGCACGGAGGGTTTTTCGAACCCTGCCGTTTTTCACTCAGCTGGCCGCGGCTCTATTCTCTCAGGAAGAGCCGCGGCCCTATTCTCTGCCTCTCTTCAGCCGCGGACTCCATCTCCCAGAGCCGCGGCTGCTTTTTTCCCGCCATTGCCTTCCTCCCGCCTACCAAGCGTCTTCCTATGACGCGGACCTTTCCCGCCCTTTCAACGGCGGCGATCTCGCGGCGGCCATTTTAAACTGCAGTGTAACTGCCAACGGCTCCTCCACTGCGGCGCTAGTTTTTCACGATCATCCTGTGGGTACAGAACTTTATTAACTAGTTGTGGAAGGTAGGTTGCTGCCACCTTATATCCACCTATTTTTTCATAAAACTCATTAAAAACGATCACTTACTGATCTATCTCCTATCTGTTTTTTCCACAGGCTTTGCCCACACAGGACCATTTTATTACAACTCTGGGTGAACCCCTTTCCTTAAGTGGTATAATTACAGTGTGGTTTGTTTTTTACCAAATTTGTCTGACTGACCATTTTTATTTTCCTCCTGTGGGTGAACCCCACTTACTTATTTAAAGTACATATTATGTACAATAGTTGTGTGGCTGACACCACCTACTGAATACACTGCTGTGTGCATATTTATGTGGCTAACACCACTTTACTTTATTTTGTGGGTGACCCCCATTACTTACAGTACATTATATATACACATTATATATATTATTGGTGTAATTTTATAGTGGTGACCCCACCTCAGTATCTGTACAATATTTCCTATTGTTCACAATCTGTATTATTGGGTGACCCCCATTAATTATCCTTTACTATTTTATTGTGCCAAGCATTTGTGGGTGACCCCCATTGTTTGACGTCTCGTGGGTGACCCCCACCTCATATTTTTCTAATTGAGTTGCCTCATCCTTAATTGATACTCTTTAATCTATATCTATATATATATATATATATATATATATATATATATATATATATATATATATATATATATATATATATATATATATATATATATAGATAGTTGTTATTAGGGTTTACATTTATCTTTAAATTGACATTATGTCAGATCGCCAAGACCCTGCGATCTCTGCCGAACTTAAGGAATGGCTTTTCTCAACTATCGCAGAGTCCATTCCTAAGGCTCTGGCAGCCTACCATGAACGTAATCCAGAGGTACACCCCTCTACACAACAGCCCTCTGACTCTGAGGACTCCCATATCTCCGACCAAGATAGCGCCCCGCGCAAAAGACCCTGGAAAGGGAATAGCGCTACTGCGGGCAAGGGCAAAGCTCCTGCTAAGGTCATTAAACATGCTAAGCCCTATGTTTCACAGGATGTTACAGACCCTCTAGAGGGTTCTACTTCACGTTTATCTGGCCATATTCTAAGTGACTATGACCCCAATTACTCTGATGAGGATCCCATGGTGAATGTGCCCCAGGATTCCTCAACATCGGAGTTCGTGAAAGAAACTTTCCTAAATCAAGATCACAAGAGTAAGGTACCTGACTCAGACACCCTCCTGGATGCTTCAGGCCTTCCACTTTTTGACCCAAGGGTGATACGCCACCCACGCTCAGCAGAATGGGCTCCCCCAGATCATATTGCTAATTTCTGTAAACTGTGGCTTCGCAAGCCCCTCGAAAAAGAAATCAGAAACAAACTAAGGGCTGAATGCCCGAGACCTACTATCCCAGGCAAAGTTGCCTCTACCCCTGAATTTGACCCCATGTTGGTCACCTATTTAACAAAATCTGGTAAAGACCCTCGGAAGGGTATTGAACAGGGTTTGAAAGCAACCCAAGACAAATTATTGGACATTTCAGGTCCTATCATACAAATATTTATACTCGCAGATGAGGCACTCACCAGCGGTGAATTAGACCCGCATATTATAAGAGAATGGGCGCAGAGAGCCCTTTGCCTTCTGGGCAACGCCAATACGGCTATTTCAATTGAGAGACGCAGAGCGGCACTGTACAAAATCGATGCCAAACTAGTGGATTTGAGCACTAAAGAACTAGGCCCAGAGGCCGATGGTCTTTTATTTGGTAACAGTTTCATGCGAGACCTCTCCAAGCATGTCTCAGTTTTTACCACACTCAATAAAGCCCAGTCCTCCCTACGTAGGGTGTTCCGTCCCACTTTTCAAAATCGTTTTTCTGGGAGAGCTGGTCGCTCAAGGGGCCGAGCTACCAGTAGAGCAGCCTTTTCAGGCTACAGGCCCCGACCCACAGAGTATTGGTCCACGGGATACTCACGACCATACCACAGGCAGCTGTTCAACACCAGAGGCTCAATTCGAGGACGTGGCTCTGTATCCCTGCGCGGACGCACTGCTTCAGGTAATGGACCTTGCTTATTTAAAAACTGTATCAATCGCAGGTCGATTAACATTCTTTTTCCCACAGTGGAAACTTCTTTCTCAGGATCTTTGGATCCTTCATACAGTCACAGGTTTCAAAATAGATTTTATCACACATCCAGTTCAATATTCTCACCCGACACCCTTAGGGATGTCAAAAGCAGATACTCTAACCTTGAACACAGAACTGACAAAATTGTTACACAAAGGGGCGATCGAACCTTCGCCTTTCCCTTGCACCTTCCTCAGCAATATATTTCTGGTTCGGAAGAAAACGGGGGACCATCGTCCCATTATCAACCTCAAGGCGTTGAATCGCTTTATCACATACCGTCATTTCAAGATGGAAGGTATCCATCTTCTCAGGGACTTGCTCTGCATGGGAGACTGGTTCTCCAGATTCGACCTCAAAGATGCTTATCTGACGGTCCCTGTAGCACCAAGTCACCGTGCCTTCCTCCAATTCCGTTGGCAAGGCGACATTTGGCAGTTCACCTGCCTCCCTTTCGGACTTTGTTCTGCTCCATGGTGTTTCACCAAGTTGATGAAACCAGTCATGGCGCTCCTTCGTTCTCAGGGCATACGTTCAATTATATATTTGGACGATATCCTGATCATGGCACAAGATCAGCAATTACTTCGCAAACACACACACATGACCTCTGCCCTCCTTCAAAACCTAGGTTTTGTCATAAATTACCAGAAATCAGACCTGGTACCTTCTCAAATAGTCCAATTTTTGGGTTTTCAGATAGATTCAGTTCAAGCAACTCTACAATTACCCTACTCCAAAATCAAAAACATAAAACGAGAGATTCAAAAATTACTCAAGTCACAACGACCTCGACTCCGCGACCTAGCACACGTGCTGGGTCTTCTGTCTGCATCAATTCAGGCTATTTTTCCAGGGCCCTTGCATTACAGAGCAATGCAACGGCTGAAAACCTCCTATTTACATCGCTCGACCTCCTACGACCAATTCATTTCCCTAACGGACGAAGTTCTCATCGAACTTCACTGGTGGCTTCGCAATATGGAAGCCTGGAATGGGAAAGCGATTTTCGGATCTCAACCAGATTTTATTCTGGAATCCGATGCCAGCCTACTCGGTTGGGGCGCTACGTGCGCCCAATCATACACAGGAGGTCTCTGGTCCCCGTCGGAACGAGCACTTCACATAAATTGTCTCGAGCTCATTGCCGGATCCTTCGCGATCCGCAGCTTTGCCAAAGAAGCCTCCAACTGCTCTCTGGTACTTCGGATGGACAACATCTCCGCAGTACGATATGTAAACCGTCTAGGAGGGTCCAAATCGAAACTACTGTCAGACCTCACCAAGGATCTGTATCAGTTTTGCTTAGACAGGAATCTGTCTATTCGGGCCGAGTATCTCCCAGGACCCGACAATTTAGTCGCGGACTGGTTCTCACGTCACTGGAGGGATGCCAGCGATTGGCAATTAGATCCTCTTCTATTTCACCACATTCACCTATTGCGGGGACCGCTCACTCTCAACCTCTTCGCGTCTCGGCTGAATCGTCAAACAGACGATTATTTCAGCTGGTTACCAGACCCTCTATCCCCAGCTGTCGACGCTTTTCTCCAACATTGGCCACGGGACGGAGCCTATGCCTTCCCTCCCTTCTCCATGATTCAACGTACTCTCCACCAGGTCAAATCACAGAGGGTCAAGATTGTGATAGTTACCCCTCTATGGCGGGCCCAGACGTGGTTCCCCACTCTTCTGGAGCTTTCCACAGACTACCCCATCATTCTACCTCGCTCACATCGGGTTCTCAAGAACTCAACGGGCGACTACCATCCACTAGCTCTACAGGGCCACCTTCAGTTAGTGGCCTGGACAGTTTCAGGGGTGCTTGGCATGTCGCAGGACTTTCAAGCACTGCTCAAACACTCCTATGGGATTCATGGGCACCAGGAACCAGGCGCACCTATCTCGCCGCATGGCGAGTTTGGGTCAGCTGGTGTCTGGAGAGGGATTTCGATCCCGTTTCAACATCTCTCTCATCCATTCTAAATTTTCTATCATCCCTTTTCGATCAGGGTAAATCATACCGATCAATTAATGTTTTTCGTTCCGCCATTTCGGCGGGACATGACCCTATTGATAATTCCTTAGTTGGGAAACATCCTTCTGTGTGCAGACTTTTACGAGGCATTCGTTTGACGAGGCCACCTTCTGCCAAATACTCTGGCTTCTGGGACATATCTCGAGTCTTCGCATTGTTAGAGTCTTGGCCTCCTAACGAGGCCTTATCCCTTCGACAGCTCTCTGCAAAATTGGCCCTGCTACTGTGCCTGGTGTCATTCCGCAGAGTTTCTGACGTTCACGCTTTTGATTCACACGCTGTCTCCTTCACACCAGAAGGTGAATTACTAGGCGCACTAAGACGAATTCCTCGTCTGTTTTTTACCCATACTTTCCCGACAGGCCAGCCCTCTGTGTGGCTCTGTGTACTCGTTGTTACACAGAGGCAACTGCCGCCCTACGTTCTCCTACCGGTCCCCTTTTCATCTCTTATGTCAGACCTCACAAACCGGTCTCTTCCCCCACTATCGCTCGCTGGATAAGATGGTTACTTATCCAAGCGGGAATCGATAGATCATTTGGGGCCCATTCCGTTAGGGGAGCGGCCGCATCCTCTGCCTTTCGGGCCGGCAGTTCATTAGCGGATATTTTGTCCTGCGCTGATTGGTCAAGGGAATCTACCTTTCGGACTTTTTATTTTAAACCAACACAAACACATGCGGCTTGTTCTATTATTCGAGAGCGTTAAAACAGCAAATATGAAGCCTCCTGTCTTGCCATAAAATTAGGGATTATTCTAGCTTTTAGTGAACGAATAATCTGAATTTTATTAAAGACAGGAGGCGAATATTTTCCCTCCCTTCGTTCATTCCGGAACCCACCCTCGAGGTAAGTCTCATACTCAATGATTAATGTATGATACCATTATTTACATACAAACCTGCTATATACGATTTGCTCACCTTGTGGTTAAACACCTATCTCATAGAGTACTGATAGATCTTTATAATCTTGATTATTCTGCCAATTCGTATGAACTATAATTGGAAATAGGGGATTCAACTATATATATATATTTTTTCTCTTGTCCGAGAAACCTTACTTTCACGAAGTCTCTCTTTTCTTTTAGTGTGAAGATCTCAAGTTTATTCGATCAACTTTCCGTTTACATGGTTGACTTCATCTCGAGTTTCAGCTTCGGGAACTGTTCCGGTTAAAGTTTACATGGTTGACTTTGCTACTGACTGGCAACATCAAGAAAGAGGAAGTGGGAGGAGTTTGATGACACTATATTGTAGTTGAGATATGTTATGATTGGTTGATTTTTCCATACAACATTGTTAACCATTTCTTTGCTGCTGGGAGTTACAGTAAAGAAAGATAAGCAAATATTCGCCTCCTGTCTTTAATAAAATTCAGATTATTCGTTCACTAAAAGCTAGAATAATCCCTAATTTTATGTTTTGTGTGTGGTGGCCTAATGCTATATGCACAACTGTCCGAGCTCCCTTTCCTCCAGCTACAATTTATACGAAATTTTGCAAAGGTCTAGCTTTAACACCTTAAATGGACACTATAGTCACTCAATGAAGCAGTTTTGGTGTATAGATCATGTCCCTGCTGTGTTACTGCTCAATTCTATGGCATTTAGGAGTTAAAACACTTTTCATTCAGGCCTAGTCACACCTCCCTGCGTGTGAATTACACAGCCTACCAGGCTTGAAGACGACTTTTGGTCGCCTAAACGAGGCAGTACGTCCTCACGCTATGAATGAGGACTTCCAGCGTCACTGGAATCCCCACAGTAAAGCACTGAATAATGCTCTCCTATGAGGAAATCCAAATGCGAGCGAGGCCATTGTGCGCATTAGGTCTCCCCCACCAGCGGACGTGGGCGGAGCTGAACCAGCATCAAGTAACATCGGTGATGGACCCAGGTAAGTTACAGAAGGGGTTATTAACCCCTTCTGCACCACGGGGGTGAGCATTGACAAAGGGGGAAGCTATAGTGCCAGGCACATGCGTTTGTTTTCCTGGCACTATAGTTCCCCTCCAACAGAAACAAAAGTGAATTAACTTCAGAGGCTTGATTTGTACACAAAAGCTGCTTCATTAAGCTAAAGTTGTTTTGGTGACTATAGAGTCCCTTTAATTGACTCCTTCCAGTGTTGTCTTAGAAATGCAAATAAATAATTGAAATTCTTTTTGTATTTTTCTTTAGTTGCACTTGTATAGTATTAAAAGCAAAACTATGAATCTTTTCGCCATTTAAAAAAAACATTTAAATCATACTTAAGGTTGCATCAGGTATAGATATACGTTATCAGAAAGAAAAAACAAACAAAGCAAAAAAACAAACCTGTTCTAAAATGTATAATGCAATGTAATGTATATAGGTGCACTTAAATCAGTGGGGAGATTTGGGACTAAATATATTTAGTTGTGTGTTTTTTTTTTTTATAAAGTGGCAGAGCAACTTTAATCAGAATGCTTTACCTTTATGCCTTGAAACAAAATAATTATTCAATAAACCTTGTTTTAATCAAAACAAACACCACACTGTGATAGCATAGCACTATGTGGGATTATAATACAGTATACACACCTTGCTGAAAGCCCTCCTCTGCCTGGGTTGTTGTCAGCAGTCCCTCTGTCAATATAAAGCCGCAGGCAGTGCACACCAGCTGGTCCTGGGAGTAGTGAGCATCCTCCACAACATCACAGGAGCCACAGTCAGGGCACTGCCTGGGGCCCGACATAGCCAAAACAAAAACGCTAGCTCTCAGTATAGACACACAACTAAAGACAACAGCGTCTCCCAATTACTACGTCACAACATCCAGACATTACCACGGAGACCGAGCCCATGGAATGGCTAATAAGCACTAGGCTACGCAAAAATGGCAGCCGAGCGCATAAAATTGACGTAAACAGAACTATAGGTAATATGGAGGGGTTTCAGGTTACGTCACTTCCCACCGAAGAAAAAAAAAGGCGCAAAGGACCAAGGGATTGAAGCTGCGCTCATATAGGCAAGGGGTGCTTGTGTAGGAGTGCCTGTGCTGGTACGTGATTGACTTACTGGACTTCGTCAGCAGGTGGCGCTATTAATATTGATAAGTGAAGGCTTCCTTTTATAATAAAGCTGTGTTGCTGTTCTAAAGGATTGTATGTTAGGCTAGTAGAGGTTGTAATCATCCATAATATGTCCAACTAGCCATTCACGATCAGTCACGCAAATGTTGTATGTAGATCAAGTATAATTGCATACCAACCAATGTTTTAAATGGACAGAGGGAGACTTTACTTTTAAAGATGTGGAGAGTGGCAGGCTGTTTTGAGAATTGTAGGTGACTTTATGTAACTAAAATGTAAGTTAGAGCAAATGCAATTTATTATTTACAAAGAGTGATTACTAATCACATCATTGTGGTATAAAGACAGATTATTATTATTACTGGCATCGATATGGCGCCAACTTATTCCGCAACAATTTACAATGTTACAGAAAGGGAAAATTTTACAATAAATGAGACAATTAAAGAATGATACAGGAACAATAGGTTGATGAGGACCCAGCTCAAACACGCTTAGGCTGTGGAGCTCTGTTATACTCTTAGACCAGGGGTTCCCAATTAATTTCCCCCGTGGAACCCTTTGACAAAGTGTATCGTGGAACCCCCAACTCGATCCCCCCCACGACAAAAAAAAAGCACTGTTTTTTGTGTGTGTCAAGGTGTGTGTATCAGTGTTTGTATGTGCCAGTATGTGTATCTGTGTGTCAATGTGTATCTCTGTGTGTGTATCTGACACACAGATACACACACTCAGATAAACATACACACATCTTGACACAGTGTCATACACACACAAACACACTGATATACACTGGCACATACTCACACACACACACACACACTCAGATACACAAACCTTGACACACAGATACACACACTGACACACTCAGACACATATACTCTTTGACAGACACACATACACTCTCACTGACAAACACACATACTCTTTTACAGACACACATACAAACACATATACACTCTCAATGACAAGCACACATATACTATTTGACAGACACACAAATACATACAAACTCCCTAACAGTCAAACAGACAATTTATTATTATTTTTTAAAATTTTACTCCACCCAGCCTTACCTTTGGAAGTGCTGGCATGGAGTCTCTATGTCACTGTGGTCCAGTGGGGCTGCTGGGCTGATCGTGGGGTCTAGTGGGGCTGTTGAGTGGCTGGTGTGCAGTCCCTGGGATCCAGTGGGGCTGGTGAGTGGCTGGCTTGCAGTCCCTGGGGTCCAGTGGGGCTGCTGAGTGGCTGGTGTGCGGTCCCTGGGGTCCAGTGGGGCTGCTGTTTGGCTGGCCTGGGGTCCAGTGGGGCTGCTGAGTGGCTGGTGTGCGGGTGGCGAGGGAGCAGTGATCTCCCTGCTCAGCTCCCTCACGTGCCTCTTAGTGATGCCGGAGCCGGAGAGACGTCATTTTCTGGCTCCGACATCTCTGCTGTGCGCGCGAGGAAGCTGAGCAGGGAGATCACTGCCTACTGCTCCCTCGCCGCCCACGGCCATTTTGTTTTTAGAAATTTTGGCGGAACCCCATTTGTGTTCTCACACCAATTGGGAAACGCTGTCTTAGACACATCAACAATATACTGTATGGAGCTCCTAGGACAAAGGGACAGAGGAATTTGGGCCAAAACTATTGACTGTCCATGCTAAGTAGGGATACTTGGGAGGTATGAACATTTTCAGCTCTGAGTCCCTGCAGTATGTAATCCAATGCTCTACTTATCTATTTGTTTACACTTGGTGGAAGGTGGCAGCTACTTAAAGGAGCTCTCAACCCTCAAAAAACAAAATCTTAATTAAGTTGTATTGTGAGCTGAAGTCCCTTGGCATCATCTTACCTTTTGGTGGTAAACCATTTTGACCAGTTTAATATCTGAATTGGTCCTAGGTGACTAGCTGCAGTATTCGTTACCATCTCTGATTAGCAATTATGCTAAGCAAAGAAGTAAAGCATTGGGTATCAGCCAGGCCCGCATTAGCCAGTGGGCAAATTCCCAGTGGGCCGCAATAACCGTAGGCCGAGGCCTGCAGGGGAGAATGGAGGAACACTATCCAAGTGCCGGCACTGCTGTGAGACATAACTGTCCATTGGGTAGTTCCAAGATCTCCCTCACCGGCCCACATGCAGTAAAATGTAGCAGCCAACAGGGGAAAGAGACAGGAGAGGAACCGGAGGGGTATAGGGTGTTCTAGCCAACAGCACCATATTCTTCCTCTTGCTACGTCGGAGCATTGCCACGGTTACCATGGCAATGCTCTGATCTTGCTATAGTGAACTTACATAGCTGAAAAGAGACATGCGTCCATCAAGTTCAGCCTGTCTCACAAATGTTTTTGCTGTTGATCCAAAAGAAGGCAAAAAACCCAGTCTAAAGTGCTTCCAATGTAGCAACAAACTAGGAAAAAAATAATTCTTGACCCCAAAATAGCAGTCAGATATCTCCTTGGATCAAGAAACTATTACACCACTAATTAGAAATCTATTAATAAAAAATAAAAAAAAATAGATTTGCCTGCTCCCACCTGTCCCCCACACACAATACCCCGTTACACACACACTACACTCCTTTCACACTGTCAGGATTACTGAAGATGCCCAACACGTAGAACTTAAGTAGATAATAAGAAAATACCTAAGACGTATTACCGTGCCTTAGAATGGGCGGATTTAACGTATAAAGGCAAAAAACCACAAGGCAGGGTAAAGACAAGACGTAGAAATAACGTGAACGATGAACAAGCCAGGGGTCAAGGAATGGAGAAATCAGAATAGTCAGGAGCCAAGCCAAAGGTCAAGGAATACAGAGATTGGATAGTCAAAAAGGGAAGCCAAGGTCAATACACAAGAATCAACACAAGACATGCGCTCTCGGATAACCAATATGGGAACCATGACAGGGCACAGAGAAATGGACAAAACAGGTTTATATAGTCTAAAGTGCTCCCTGATTGGTTGCAGGGAAGCATGTGATCATGGGTGTGTATAGGAAACACCTTCAATATATTTACTGATCTGGCCCTTTAAGGGTTAAACATGGAAACCCTTATATTCCTCCAAGCTGCAGCGGCCGGCCGCTGTGAGAGGAGGAGGAGGAGAGCCACCAAAAGGGGTGAGTAAAGGGCGGCATTCCCATAACCACGTGGGAATGCTGCTGGACCGAGATGTGGCGGGACCTGACAGGTAGGAGACCGGCAGCATTCCCCTTAGTCTGTGGGAATGCCGTTGCAACGATGCGTGCTCTGCACCACTCTCACACATGATGCACCCCTACACACTAGTTCCCCTTTAGACACAACATACCTTATACACACTACATTCCAGGTATACACTGCACCACTTACAAACACTACATTCCAGACAAACACAGTACATCCCTTATATACACCCTGATTTCCAATGCTTACAGTAGATCCCCTGTACGTAAGAACATACTACCTTAAACATACACTTTCTACACCCCTCTGCACGCTCTTGCTATATCCTCTTTGTACACTATGCTCCCTATACACACACACTCTCACTCTGTACAGCCCCTTGCCACACATTTTACACCACAAACACACAAACCGAAACCGAACTATTTACACAAATAACACCACACAACAACCAGGTCACTCTACACACACGCAATCTCACAAGCAGCCTCCAAACACATGTATAATATGCTTTCCTGACCCTTTTGTCATAATGCTCGTCTAACGGTTGTACTTTGGCTTAATGTTATAAAAAGGATTATTCACTAAATTGTGTGGGGGACGCCAAGTGAATTCAAAGGGTTTTTTTTCACTAAAACTATAGCATATTGAAAAACAAATTGCGAAATTCAGTTAAAACAGCAAAGCTGATAATATAGTTGAGTGGCAAAGTTTTCATTTTTTAAAATCAATTTGGTTTTCGATAGTGGGTGTGGTGGTTAGAGTTCTACTTCATGGACAAAATAAGTGACGTGGTAAAATTGTCTAAATCATCCATGCTTGCAGTTTGACTATTTTAGTTTAAAATGAAAATTCATATTGAATTTATTTTGATTTACTGAACATTCAATCTGAATAAATCTGATAATATAAATGTATAAATACAACAATGCTCTCATAGACTTATGAGCTGCAGAGTCACGTAATGTCACAATTATATTCAGCCCAGTGTACTTAGAACCGCAGAGATTTTATTGTAGTATAATAAACATTGTCATTGTTTCATTAGCTTTTTACAACAGCTGGGATTACTGCTAATCACTTGAAAATGCTGTTCTCTGCTCTTCCGAATACTATCCTGGATGAGTCTATGCATGGCTTCGGAGCACGTAAGTTGATTAGACACCTGAGAATAAAATTCTCATGCTAAAATGTTTAGTATTCATTTTCATGTATTGAGAAGTGTGTGTTCCCCCTCCCTCCCCCCACATAAAAAGGTGTTTAGAGCCACTTTATATGTGTTTTATAAATACTGCCTCCCCCGTACTCAGGTTTCTAACCTTTCTCCTTTCTAAATTGATTTATTTAACAGCAAACGGGTTATTATTTACTAAAATATGCAGAGTCAATGTAAAGCCAATGCAGATGAAGGGTGCAAGATTTTAGGTTATCCAATCATCATATTTCAATGGGATGATACACGCCTGTTTCATGTTGGGGAACATATGCAGGTTATTCACTAAACTCATAATTTTAGTAAGCTAAATCTAAATTGTAAAACTGAGTATAAAATAGCCGAGTTGGAATATTTTTCCAGATTAGTTATTCTACCCCCCAGCATCTTTGTGGGTCTCTTTCTTGTCCCCAAGCCCACTCTTTGTCATCCCCACCCCTTCTGTGCACCTCTTATCCCTTAGCCCTCTCTGTGCTTCTCCCCCCTTAGCCCT